AAAAAAGGGCCCATCGAATGGAATTTAGCGGCTGATAGGTCTTTTAAAAAGTTAAAAGAGTGCCTAACTTCAACGCCAATTCTAAGCATGTGCGATTTCTCGAAACCTTTTACCATTTATACGGATGCGTCTTTAACCGCGGCGGGTGCAGTTTTGGTTCAGAACTTCGACGGACAAGAAAAAGTGATACAATATTACTCAAAAAAATTCTCAAAAGCCGAACGAAATTATATGGCTTCAGAGCGAGAATGTCTTGCCGTTCTTCTAGCTGTTGAAAAATTCCGGCCGTACATCGAAGGGGTTAAATTCACCGTCGTAACAGATCACTCGGCTCTTCGTTGGTTATGGTCCATCAAAGATCCGGCAGGTCGTCTTAGTCGTTGGGCTATTCGCTTGCAAAGATTCCAAATGGAAATTATCCATAGACCTGGGAAACACATGGAATTGCCGGATGCTATTTCTCGTGCCTGTGCCTTAATTTCCATTAACCCTAAAGAGACGTCTGATCCGTGGTACTTGAAAATGATGAAATTGGCTTCAAAGGGGCCGTTGGATCGCTATAAAATTGAAAATGGCTTGTTGTACCGGCGTTTGAATTTCTCGAATTTTAGCAGTGTAAAGTCTTGGACTTTGTGTGTTCCGTTAGAAGACCGTGGAAAGGTCTTGAGAGAAAATCATGATAATTGTTCTCATCCCGGAATTTGGAAGGTTTGTCGAAAAATTTCGCAGTCTTATTATTGGCCCAACTTGCACGAATCAGTCTATCAGTACATCCGGAAATGTGAAATCTGTCCTCGGATTAAGCCGAGTAACGAAAATACTTTGACTCCACACGGAGAGTATCGTGAACCAAGATATCCTGGTAGGCAATTGTCCATAGATTTTGTTGGGAAACTTCCGCTCTCGAAAAATAAAAATTGCTGGATTTTCGTTGTGTTAGATTGTTATTCTCGATTTCTGTGGGTAAAACCTATGCGTGCCGCTAGTGCTATGGCCGTAATCGATTTTCTCAAAAATGAAGTTTTTCGTCACAACGGTTGTCCTGAGTTAATCATCTCCGACAACGGCAAACAATTCGTTAGTAAAATCTTCGAAAACTTCTGCTCAGAGCGCAATATTCGTCACATGAAGACTCCTTTCTACCACCCGAAGGCTAATCAAGTCGAAGCCGCGAACAAAAGTATCAAAACTACACTTAGAGCTCGGATGGTAAACGTCCCCGAACATTCGGTTTGGGAATGTTTCTTATCGCGTTGTGTCTTCGATCTGAATACCACTCCTCACACTTCGACGAACTACACTCCCTACTTATTACACTATGGCCGAGAATACATCGAAGATGGTAG